TTGTTAAAGGAGGGAGAGGATTTGTCAGTTGGGGAATAAATCCACGTTAACAGTTGGTCTTATTTCACAACTGTTTTCGCCTCTCCAAAATTAAGAAATAAACAATTTTTGTCCTCCATATTTTGTCTTTGATTTAGGGGCACTTCCAATCTTGAACGTATTTCACCATAAAGTAAAATACACAACATAGGCTTCCACTTTGTCGGTGATCACAGTTTAAGGCCAAATTTCGAATTCCTGGCGGTTTTTTAACTTTTGTTCATTTTGGCGAGATGTTTGGGCTATCACTGTGTCCTTGCTGAAATGTTTTGTGTTGGAATTATTCACTAGAAACATGGCCATAGCCTTGCCCTTGGTCAATGCATTCGTCTTCACTTCCTATCATCGGTGGAGAAGGGTGAACTGATATTCCACGGCAGACCAAATATAAACAAGTCAACAAAGTATGACACATAACGAATTATTCTATATATTCTCCATATTTATTTTTAGTTTTAGCTTTTTAAGTTCCTGATTCTATACTTCCAAATTTTATTGTAGAGCTTGCGACGAAACCCACGGTGTTTCACTACTATCTTATGGAGGGTTTGTGGTTTGTGGAGTACGTAACCGCCCCACCTTGGATCGACTGGTGTCTCTGAGAGAGGATGGCGCCTTCTACGGGTGCGGTTGCTCGGGCGCCATTTCCCTCTCCATTGAGGGAACACCTGGGGTACTCTAACCGGAACGGATCTCTCTCATGAGCAGTCGCCAAAGAAATTAAATATTAAGCCGGTTAAAATTTGAAATATACGGTCTTTATTCCCTGCTAGGCCAGAACTTACCGAATAAAACAGCAATCAAAGAAAAGGAAATACAATACAATCCGGTGAAAGGCGTCCTTTGACCTCCCTGGTGGCCCTATCAATCTTATCATTAGGTCATCTGCAAAAGCATATGCATAACTAAGGGCTTAATACTCTATCGGGCTTTCTACATCCCTATTTTCGAATTATTTCGATTCTATATCAGTATTTATTCTAACAATTTCTTGTGTGTAGAAATACCTTCAACATTGCGTGTTATTATGTTGAGTCCTTCTCTCTTCTTTTTTCCATATTTCATGTTTTGGTGTCCCATCGAAAGCCGTTTCCAGGTCTATAAATGCTTCAGTTATTAATTTATTCATATTAACGAGTACTTTAATTAATTTGCTTTTTGGAGAACGTGATTCTGTATTCCTCTTTTATCTATGATTCTAGTGCCTCTTTTGCTCTATTATCTGTTGCACTCCCTAATATTTCATCTTTACTTCCTCAATATGCACTAAAGAAGAATAATAAGATAAGATCCACTCGACGAATGGCTACTTTCATGTTTTCACGATGTTTCACGACCCCTAGAATACGAAAAAGTAGGTATCGCGTTTCCGTCTATCCGTCTACCGAATCGATTGGTGTCAAATTTTAGACGGTTGTTAGGAATACTGTGTACATAGTTAAACGATAACCAAATTTAGCTAACCATTCCCACCAACAATTTGATAACGTCCCTTCAACATTTTTGTTGTAAGGGCCATTTAAATTTTATAGAATAGGATACGCTTGTACTTGTGGCTTATGAATCCGACTTGAGTTTTAATTTTTACTTTTCGAGCGTAAGCTAAGGAAGTACAGTAGTTGAGCCCATAGGACGAATTGCCACTTTTATGTTTTCTAGACGTTTCATGACTCCTACAGTACGAAAAAAGTAGTCTCCCGTTTCCGTCTGTCTGTCTGTATGTCTGTGTGGTGTCTGTATCTATTTCTGTTAGACACGTAATCTCCGAAACTGCTGGACCGATTGTTGTCAAATTTTGTATGTATGTTAGAAATATCCTGTAGATGGTTAAATGCTAATCAAAATTTGGCTAATTATCCCCACCAACAATTTGATGACGTCATCTCAATAAATCGTATTTTAAAATGAGTTACAAAAATATAGTTCTATACTAGTAATATATGAATCCACTTTCAGTTTTTTCGCTAAACGTTCAAATTTTGCGTAAAAACAATTGCAGGGTGTAATAACGTTGTAAGTCCTCGTGGCTTAGTGGTTTAGCGGCTTTCTCGGCGAACCGGCCACATGTGGTCGTGGGTTCCATGCCAGATTTAGCCCTTTCCTTTTTTTTTCTTACATTGGTAGTGCGCTGTGACTAGTATTTTCCATGATAACGTCATCATAAACTTTTTATTGGTCAAATTAAAAACGAGTCAGTCACCCCCTTCATTCGATTGGGGTTTAATCCATAATTTTAGTCCTCTGTTTTGAAAGACAAACTCATTCAAATTAAACTAATTTCTACGTGACATTCTTTCGATGTATAAACAAAAATAGACACTTCAGATTGCTATTACCTAGTGCTGAAGGACATTTTATCCCGTTAGTTATATATTTTACACTATCCATACGGCGCAGAGGCTGCGGTAGTGTTATTTCTACCGCCGGTTTTTACTTTACAGTGGATATCACAAAACGAAAATCGTAAAATCCAATTTTATAATTTTTTTAAAGAGCTAGACTTGGAGAGAACTTATTCAAATCAAACAAATTTTTAGCTGCTATTCTTTCCATGTATAAACATAAACAATCGAAGTTAAGTTTTCTATGGGTTATTTGCTTTGAATATATTTTACCTCGTTGGAGTTTGCACCCTCGCAGCGCAGGGGGTTCGAGAAGTCATTTACACCACTGGTTTTTACTGTATGAAGGTTATCAGAAAACAAAAATTTTGCATAATTTTTCAAAGAAGCGGGATTTGTTGGACTGTACTTCAAAAGCGAGGGAAGTTCTATTGAAGTAACCTTGAACCAATTGTTTATACTGGTATAACCGAAGGTCGCGCGTTCGAACCATTCAAGGAACTTTTTTTTCTTACATTCGAAAGGGTGTTACTATATTTTTCTAATTTATACAAGTCATCACAAAAAATAAAACGTTATCATTTTATAGATGTAGGATTGCTGTCTATGTAACCTTAGGCCAATTTTTTATATTTTATTTGTTGGCATTGCGACCCCAATTTCTTGATTCTTTGCTGTAGTTCTCGTTTACGACTTTATTGACGATCGCAATTTCATTTTTGCTTTTGTATTGCTTCCATTACCACCTTTGTTTCAAATTTATTTGGTTTGTTAGATCGGTTCTTTATCTTTTTCCGTACTCTCTTAATATTTCATATTTCGTACAAGTATTCTTTGCAGCTCTTTTATATCTTCTTCGTTTATCAATATTCTACTTTATTTTGTTTGGTTTTAAACATCTGTCTTGTTTAGCGTTCTTGAGGGTTTCTTTGCTTCTGATTTGTATCCATCTCGCTCTTGTTTTTGTCCCATAGTGTCACTCTCCAAGTTTTCTAGTCCAAAGCATATCTTTATAAGTATTTTTCTTTTACTGTTTCCCATTCTTCTTGTGTTCCTTCTGTAAATCTTCCTGTAGTTTCTTTTTGCCTAAATTATATGTTCCTATCATCAGAAACGTACTTAAATTGATAAAAAATACGCAATTTCACATAACAACTTTAAGTTTCTTTGACATCATATTGTTGACAGTTGAATTCTGAATCCAATGTTATAGTGTTCCAATTGGTGGTTCGTTTTTATGACTGCATCCTATTGTGAAGATCTTAAGTGTTCCACATTAGGCCTCTGCCGCAAGTACTCCGGCGGTTATAAACCATGAAGGGACCAACTGTCTACACTACACAGGGCCGATTGCGCCCGTAAACCTTTAAGATGATTTATGGCACGGTTCTTTACATTTTCAATAGGGTTCCTAATACTTGCGGAAATTGAGATTGCAGTGCCATAAAAACGAAGTCAGAGTTGGACCACTATACATCTATTTTTTTTTCCACAATTTGACAAATCAATGTTATGACCATTTATAACAATGTTATGGGTTAGGAAGGGTGGGGCTAACTTTTTTTTGTATCAATCTTGAACCTATACACAAAAATTTAATTTCACAGGGGTTTACACGCAGACTGTATATTCAACTGGTCGAATTGTAAAAGGTTCTAAGTTAGTTTTACAAATGCCGCAGCTTAGTCACTATTTTTTACATAATATGTATATTAATCGTCATGGCAACGTATGGATGTTAAGATGCTACCTTGAGGGACAGTTTGAGATCTGTTTGTAAGGTAATTCAACAATCTGCAATTTTAATAAATAAAAGCTGATAGTCAATCACGGGTAACAAGAAATGATAGTTGGGAACGATCTCGTGCTACTAATTAATAATGGAAAAGAAGAAAAGGTTACACTAGTTTTAACATTTTTAAAATTAATTAAAGCTTCACTTCTCTGTCCCCGCTAGTAAATTCGTATGAAGTTGTTAAGACAGAAGAAAGAGGAAAATTTCAATTAAGTCCTGTTTCACTTATATTACGAGTGTTGACACTAATTTAGTAGGATAGAAGAGAACGAATAATTCTCTGATCCAAAGACAATGTTATGAGCCGGTTTAGTTCGATTCAGTCAGTTTCTCCGTTTGATGTTCTTTCTTTAAGTCCTGACGAAAAGCATGGCAGAAAGGCAATTACTACAAATTTTCAGACAACTCGCCATTTTGTGATGATTAATAGTAAACAGAGACAAGAAAGGTCATGGTAACAGAGGTGATGATTGATATTCATGTTTGATGTAGGTAATATCTATCAGCCCACTGGACTTCCCAAACAACTTACGGGTTATACACCTTTGACACAAATAAAAGGATTTTAGAAATATAGTTTCTTTTTTTGAACAATATAACGTTGTTATCAATTGGCTTAGTGTTGACAAACGCATCTAGAATAGCCTGAAAAAACTGATGAAATCATTACATATTTGATTAAAGAAAATAAAAATTCCAATACGAATCAAGTTTGGTTCACAAAGTAAAAAACCAAGGTGAATCACAGTTGTTTTTCACAATATGACAAAAGATTAAATTATATAATTCTGGGGAACTTCTAAGTCCGATGTAATTTTTAGTTTTCGCCAGTGCTGAAACATCATTGCTAAATCTTTTCTCAGTAACAAAGGTGAAATTAAAAAACCATTAAAGAATAGTCGTCGGCACGATTTATGTTTGTTATCTCTGTAGATATATACTTCGAATGTTGGTGTTACTCACTCAAACCTCTCACCATGAAAGCGACTCGGTTTGTGCTAATTTTTGCTGCTCTTGTTCAAACGGTCCGACCAGAGGGTACGTATAAACAACTTTTTATTTATTCGCTGTTCACGTTAAAAACTGGCATTGTTCCCGCTAGCGTGTCAAACTTTAATACACGTAGACAAATTTGTTTAATTATGTTTGTATTGAGTAGCGACATCGCATCAATTTCACGAAACGCTTTCTGTTGGCTCGGGCTGGTTAAATTGATTCATTCCGCAACAACGTCTTTGTTTGTGATCCAAAGCGAATTTTTGAAATGTTTGGTTGGTCATTCGAGTTGTGAGAAATCGCCAGAGGCACTCTAGGAATCTTGCGCTAAAAATATTTTCGAATTTTTGTTAAAAGTAGTAAACCGTTGAAAGAATTTGGTACCTTCCTGTACCTAATTATAATGTTAAAAGAATGCCACTTTTTATTTTTAACACAAAACTGCTAAAATAAATGATTCAGAAAATCACACTGCGTGATCAAAGTTCTAAAAGTTCAAGAATGCAATCTGACAGCAGTAATAATCGGAGGTTAAATTTTTTTTCAAAGAGGTTGTGTTATGAAAACAAACTTGATAATTTTTGGACAGTGATGTCAGAGACAACACGTCGTCGATGTTTCTTTGAAATTGAAACTCTTATTTATGTTATGTATATTTAGAGAAAAGATAAAATCTAATCAACACTCGTGAGTGAAAACATACTGATTCATAGGTGGTTCTACATAATGTTGACTTCGCTGATGTTAAACTCCTATGATCTTGACTGTTCACCTCCAAAATACTCTAATTCGAAAGTGTCACACAAAAGAATTTGATAACCTTTAGAAGTTTTTAGAAGAGTTCATTCTCAAACTCGTATAAACTTGTACAATTATTGCAAAATTTAATCTTATTATTGCATTACTCTAATCTCCAACATATACATGCACCTTGTTTATATTTGGAGTATGTATTATCTGGTTATCTCGGCACAAAGCAGTGATTAAAGTACAACGCATGTTGTACTTTAGTTAGGAAATCCCACCAAATGGAATGAAAGGATATATGTTAGTGTTAAAATTTGCAGAAAATATATAATTTATTTGTTCATATTGCTGATACTTTGAAGCTATAAAGTAACTGAAACAACTTGTTATAACAAAGCTAACACTGTATTATTGGGAAAAAAACTGTAATTTTAACATTGTATGTTCATGTTAATGACAGTAGGGTTAAATTATGTTATTCTTGCTAATACAAGGTGGAATATTCATCAAAGTAAACTATGCATATGTTTAGATTAATGTTTTGTTTGGTGACGTTGTATAATTTTTAATTAAACATTTAATTACTATAATTTTAATGATATCTACCAGTTGTCCGGAATATCCCCAACACTCTTAAAGGTATATTATCGAGGGATGTCGTTAAATACGGGAAAAATACTGAAAACATTTCTTCTTGCATTTTCGTGGAGAGAGAGTGTATATTATCGTCACCAAAAGAACACTTAATTGAATATTTATAGCGTGTTTTTGATGATCTTAAAACATTTGTGGTTGTTTTATTTTGTGCATCACCATAATTAGTACTGTGTAGTTTAGGAAGTATGTAGCAATCAGGGCCGGCTCTAAGCGACCAGGCGCCCCGATGCAAACTTATTGTTCAACGCCCTTAAAAAAAAATTTGTAAAAAAAAAAACAAATAAAATTTTGTAATCACATATTTTTGTAGAGAGATACTTTTTATTAACAAACATGCATAAAATTATGATGAATCAATCTTAATATATAAAAGTATTTGTCTTAACTGACAAACTGACTGATTCATCAACGCAAAGCCTAAACTACTGAAGCTACAAACATGAAATTTAGACAGTAGGTTCCTTTTCTGTCATAAACACCCTAAGAAAAGATTTCTGGAAATTCCGTCCCTACGGGGACAAAATAGGGGATGAAACTTTGTGCAGAAATCCCGTGAGTTTTTAAGTCAGACGGGTTCACTGGGGCCCTGGAGTTGTGAACGAGATGAAAAATGATAATTTCGGAGATTTCCACGGTCGGAATTAATAGATGATCGTTTTCCGGGTTGGAACCGTGTAATTTCTCAAAAAAGTTTCGCCTCTGGTATGGTTGACATACTGAGTTACCGTGCTCTTTTGCCTTATTCTTAACCCTGCTCCTGAAGATGCCACTTACGAAAGTGTGCGAAACGTTGAGCCTAGAAACCCAATTTACACGGTTCCAACCCGGAAAACGATCATGTATAAAAAAATTATGAGTCCTAATTGCGAATTCCACGCAAACGGAGCTGCGGGCAACAACTTTTCTATAGTTTAGGAAATATCGTTGTACCCTATAAAATTTTCTTGCCAATAACGAGACGGACAGTAGTACAATAGCAAGAGATATTTACAACTTAAAGTTGTCGCATGGCGGTAATCCGCAGACCTTAAATTTCTAAAGCAGCGGAAGTCCGATCCTATGCGCACAATTACCTGCTAAATGTTCTCCTACAAATTCGGGGGGACTGGTGTGAGCCATAAATATTTCTTACCATTGTACTACTGTCTGCCTCGTTATTGTCAATAAAATTTTATAGGATACACCGATATTTCCTAAACTATATATAGTATAAATATAAAAATATTTATATTGCAAACGTTTTTCAATTTTTAATATTGTAAAATTGATACGATTTCAAAGTTATTTTAAATTTAGACTTACCACGAAATGATACACACAACCAAATTCGGCTACAAACAGGAACAGTGAAAAACATAACAAAACTGTTGAACAACCGCCACAACCAAAACCAACCGACTAGACTTGGAAAATAAAATTTTTAAATATGCCGACATGGACTTTTATGGTAAAAACAAACGTGACAAATGTTAGGAAAAACATCTGGGTGTGGTCATACCGCTGTCTCGTCAAATTGTTACCCAGATAATGCATCATAAATCTGGTTATTTTTTGTCGGTATTGATCTAAAAGTCCCATCACCCAACCCAAAGGCGCACTTTTTTTCAATTACTACAGTTTGAAAGTGTCAGGAATTGACTTCTTGGGATCTGTTTTGGTGGTCATAGTGGAATGTTAAAATGTAGCTTTTTCTGAAAAGTTTTCGATGGGCGCCTTGGTCTGTTACTGCTATAATATTTTATTGGTAGTGATTCAATGCAAAACTAATATTAATTTTTTTTTTATAGAGTTAATATAATAGCATAGGCGGCGCCCGCCGCCCGGCGCCCTTTGTCACGGGCGCCCCGATGCGGTGCATCTTTCGCTTACCGTGTTAAGCCGGCCCTGGTAGCAATCATTTACACCACAAAGTACCGGTTTCAATACGTGCCTCTCAAATATTGGACAATGAACTATTAAAGACCTGTTTTACCAGTGTAACTTATATAACAAAATGTTTCTGGTAAACAGAATCATTGTTTTTACTTTACTTTTTCTTCCCCGATCCTAAGCTAAGGAAATATTGTAATCGAGTCCAACCGCCGAACGAATTTCTCGACATTGCATGATCCTCAGATAATCCTACTGAGTTTCCGAGGAAAATTTCATTGTTACAAACCCGTCACAAACAAATATACCGATTCAAGACAGTGTTGGGGACAGATACTTTTAAAAGTATCTAGATACAGATATAGATATATGGAAGATAAAAGTATCTAGATACAGATTGTTTTCGATTTTTTCGAAATGTATCTTGATACAGATACAAGAAAACAGATACTTTTTGAAGCTTTGGCGAATAAAATAATTGAAAACGTGTTTATGTATTTTTTTATGTATTGTTTAATGATTTTTTTAAAATTAACAACATTTCGAACGTATTGTTACCTAAATTATTTCTTCTTGGTGTCAGAATTTGGTTTCCGCTACTAAACACCCGTTCCACAGGTGCAGAAGAAGGGATTGTGGTATTAAATTTAAAAAATAAACATTTTACTGTAGCATAGTTATTCAAGACTGAAAAATCTTTTCTTTTTTCCAGCAAATAAGCCATCGCTTCGCTGTTTGATGTGTCGCAAATTGTGCAATATTTATTACGCACGCTTAAAAAGAATATTTTTTTGTTTTTATTCCCATACTACAGTATCCAAATTGTGTTTGAGTATATCTAATAGTTATCTCCAGCATTAAAATTAATATTTCAAAAGAATACGGGAAATGATTATTCTGTGCTGAAGGTCTGCTGTCGCCAACCGGTCATAAATTATTATTCTTCAATATTGGCTTACGATGTTTTTATGACCATGTCCGGTAATCGTCTATCCCGGTGCGGTAGGTATATACATTTTAGGAAGAATTGCTTGTTCGGTTTAAGGCAAAATAAGTACAATTTCTTAAAAAGGTATTTAAACCCCTTATATGATCTAAGGCTGTCTGGCAGGTCGGAATCACCAGAGCGCAACTTTAAATTTTCAGGTTTTTGTTGAAACTCATTTTATTTTAATCTCGTTTCATGATTTCTGAGAATATATCACGATAAATTATTCTACCGAGGGTTGTAAAAATATTAATTTTATTGCCCAAGATTTATACTTAAACATAATCGGCACATTCTAGGGCAAAACGGACCTGCCAAGCCCGCCTCGCGTTAGGTCCAACAGTGAAAAAGTGAAGAAATGACACATGTGACAACAGGAAAAGATGCTACATTTGTCTGAAAAATAAAGATATAAAACAGTAACAAATATGCGATTTATGCGAGAGAAATGTACGTATTGAACATTCGATTAGTCGATTACAAAACTAATTTGTGTTAATTGAAAAAATTAATCATTATGTAACACGCAATTATTATTTTCTAAAAATAATAACATACCTTAAACAAATATTTTTACTATTAAAATTACTCTTATTTAATAACACAAATACAATCAGCGGGCCTACCGGACCCGGGTTCCTCAGGTACACAGATAAAATGCATTGCCCCGATAAGTGTAAAACGCAGTGAATAGTGAATCGTGGTTTATGGTTTTTAAAATACCATCTTACCATGGCTTAGATTTATTACCCCTGAGGGGTAATAAATGAGATATTTAAAG